TAGCAGCGCAACAAGAACACGAAGAAGGCTAAGACAAACATTAGTAGCTCAGCAGCAGCTGTGGTACGCGGTCCACGATCAAGAGGTGCAGCTGCTGCCGTCGTGGTGGGGCTGCAGTGGTGTTGGCAGTGGTGGCGTAGTGGTAGACACAGTTGTGTGTACTTGGTGAGCAGGTGCTGGTAGTGGTAGTGGTAGTGGTAGCCACAGCGGCAGTGGCGGCGGTGGTGGTGGTGGTGGTGAACATGATATGCAGATTTGAGGATTCCAGATCTTAAAGACAGGACCCTGAGTATGACCCAGTCTCCATGCAGTTCTGGCATATGAGAAGCCGTACAGAGTTGCTTTAACACAATAAACCACACAACATGCCAGCCCAAATCAAAATGTACTGCCATCCAACTCGCCGCCGCATGATGAGGGGATGTTTCACAGTCAGCTCTCGTCTGAGAGATTTCTGTAAAGCCAAGAGACACTTCTAGCCGTCCCCGATGTCTCACTGCAGCACTGCAGTTAGGGCGAAAGATTGCCAATGCCACCATTTCAGCATATTGGAACATGGCTTTCAAAACGAAGCGGGGTGCTATTCCTGGGATAGAGTTGCGCACTTGTGGTATCGCTGCTTGCGGGCAAGCCCCAGTTGGCACATTGCAGTGCACCATACCATGTAAAGTGATGTAGCACTGAGGAGTTTGGAGCATAAAAGCAGAAAATGCACTCAGAGTGCAGTAAGGGCTCAAAAAATCGGGTTCAGCACAACAAAGTGGTCTACCAAAAGGAGGATCTTTGTCAGGCATATCAGGAAAATGGGGTGATGTTTCTTTTGGGTGCAGGAAGGGATATATGGGACTAGTCATCTTCAGGAATGTCTTGATTTTAACTACACTCCTCTCCAACGCGACATCCTGCTCCCGAAAGCCCCTATTAGCCTATACACCTCTTTTAAGCCGATTTCCTGGGCGGCCTCTCCTAGAGTCGTTTTCGGTTGGTAAGATTGGGGGGCTCATGGGGGTCTTGCAAATCATGGGGAGTAGATGCCGAAGTATGCTGGGTAAGACCATAGAGGACTATAAGACTATGGATGAAATCGCCTACGGCCAAGTATATGGCTGCAGGTGCACGCAAGTTTTCGTCATACAGCCCATAATGCTAACCCTTAACCTACCCCCCGGCCAGGGGCGGATCACTTTGAAGTTCATTCGTAGCCGTTTAGCGACATCACGTGTACATTTGTGGGGTACTTTAGTTCTGCTTGTCATTGCCTGCGTAGGTCTATGTTCAGATGGATGAAGTAGATTATAACCAGTTGGTATCCTTCTTGAACAGCGAGAATTGTGGGGAACCGTCGTCTCCCGAATCTAGATACTAGTTAAGTGCAAATAGCCAAAAACAACTTGCTTGGCGATCTCTGTGCTGCTTCGACTCTTTGCGCAGACTTAGAGACGGAAGGTTATGAGATTAAGCCTGTGTATGGTTGAGGGTTGTGAGGTTCGGTTTACGGATTTTCGGGCCCTTTAGGGATTCAGGATTTCCTGCCTGTGGGCACCAGGGCATGGGTTTCTCAAAACCCTGGTTCCATATGTTGGTGACCCCGAAATCTTGCCTAAACCTCAAAACCCCTAAACCGTAGCTTCCATTATAATTTTCCATTATCCCAATATATCTTAATATAAACCCAATATCACAGAATATTACCCCAATATTACTTTACACCCTCTAAAGGCCGTCAAGCCTAGCTGACAACATTATCTGGGTTGCTGTTAAGGAGCTTTCACGAAGTAACTATGATAAGGAAACCCTCGTGTTTACCAAAAAACCCATATGGTAGTTTCCCTAAATAAAGGGAACCCCAATATAGACCCTAAAATACTATAGTCCTTATTATAGGGACCCCCAAAATGGTACCCCTAATTTTAGGAAACCCCCATATTTCGACTTGATGGTGCCTGTGACCTTTTCAGAGGTGAGCAATGAGCACATCCGACAGGGATTTTAGGGATAAATTTGGAGTGAATATACTAGGCGCATGTAGGCCAATGTGGATATTTTCTAGGGTAACAGGCAACAAAGCGCGGAGCCAACCAGGGGACACTAAGCCTGGAACCTCTCTGGAAGCTTCCGAGCATGAGGAATACAGGGATCTCAGAAGGCCCTTGACAGAGGCATCTCCAGCGTCCAGAATATAAACTGGCTTGAGGGTGTCTTGGTAGAATGGCTTGTGTACCTCCAGTTTCATTTAATGTCTATCTTAGGCGGATCCCCAACCCTGTCGTTGTGATTATAAAGGATAGGTGTGATCATATTAGGATCCCCCTATATTCTTATCTTTTCACTATGAGTGGGTGGGGGCCTTGTCCATCGTTCAAGCCGACGGTTCTCACTTGGAACCCTCTACAACCTAAACCCTATTGTTGCCTTAGGTTAATAGATGCCTTCGGTTGACAAACCTAGGCTCTTGAGAAATACGACCGTAAATCATCCCCCAGGGCGTATGTAACAATCTATTGAAAAAAGGGTGTTCTGTAGGGTTTAAGGTTTAGGGAATTAGGGTTTAGGGATGTAGGGATTCAGGGTTTAGGGATTTAGGGTTTAGGGTCTATCCTCCCCAAAGGGGGTTCTATAGGAGATTACATAGGGGAGTATTACAGGGGTTATCAAGGAGTTTCACTATAGCTCATGTAGGAATTCTGGAATCATGAAGCTGCCTTGTGGTCAAGATTCCATAAGACTTCCCGAGACCAGGGTTCCAGAACTTACCAGGAGTCTCCCCACCGCAAAGTCATCAAGCTCATGGAGGCAGGCCTACTTGAAGGCTGACAGTTCCTGTAAGGGCAGGAGATAGCAGCCAACCATGCATGGAGGACGCAGAAATCATTCATTCACCTCGCCAGGCTATGTGCAGGGCTCTGGGCCTTTTGTCAAATGGATGCGGTAGTTTCCAAAAATTGCTATCATCCTTGTTGTAGGGACCATCAAACAGGTACCCCTAACTTTGGAGAAGCCCATGTACTACTTGCCGGCATGGTGCGACAAAGCCTGCGAGAAACCAAAGCTGACAACAAGAGGCTGGCTTTGAAATCACACCTGGACTATACTGGCAACGGGAGTTGGCATGAAACCCTTGGGAAGCGATAGTGGGAACACGGCTGTCTCTATAGAGATGAAGTGAATGGCAAGCGCATTCAAAAAATGACGTGTCATCCATCATGACTTCTCATGAAGCCACTCATGATCTACATCTCATCTGGTGAGAAGTTCTATACGGCCACTTTCTTTCTTGCAGACATGGGGGGAAACCTCAAGTGCACCCAGGCAAGCCTTAACAAGGAAGCCCTCACTTCTTGGGAGTTGTTTGCAGAGCTTGGGCGTCAGCTCTCTCTTCAAAGTGGCCGTTGGCCACGGCCTAAACCCTAAACCCTAAACTCTAAACCCTGAACTACTGTTTGGGTTGAGGTCATCATAATTTGCTCTGCGTAAACCCTGACATGCTCTAAGATGTCATCACTCTTTTAGGGTTTAGGGTTTAGGGTAATATGGGTTATATTAGGGATAATGGAAAAGAAGCACGTTTTCATGACGCCTGGCCGACGGCAGTCGCAGCAGTCCTCATACAAAAGTAGGTGCGGGGAGCTCATACAACTTGTTGTTTCAAAAATTGGGCGCGGTCGAAAGCGTAGAGGGCCGTACACAGAAGCCCTATTGATTACGTAGTGTTCTAAGAAAAAAGAGCCAAACGGGAGCTCCTCATTTCGGGCACTCTTCAAGCCCACAGTGTATCGCATGATAGGAGGATGATAGGGCCCTCTTTTCAGGAATATTCCCCTTCCCCTAATACTCAAATCCCCACCCCCGTAAAATGAGCAGTATGCCACAAAGGGAATATTCAATATCACGTGGGCAGGGTAGGGATTAAGCAAGCACTATGTTGGAAAGCCCCCTCCAGTCCTGAGGGCACAGATATAGACATGCTCTGGGATGCAATTGTTTTTCGAGACAATAGGTTTCCACAGTTCGGAGGGAGCCAAAGGCGTACGCAAGCAAGCAAAAAAAGGCAGGAGTCTGAAATACATAGCCTCCGACACGCACACACACACGCAGGCTCTCTGTCTCTCTCTCTCTCTCTCTCTCTCTCTCATGCAGCTGCCAAACAATGGTGGGATTGCTTTTTGCGAGGGTCTTCTGAACTGCAGGGGCAAAAACGCCTTTTGAACTTACTTCGTTTTTTGGAGAAACCTTTTAGCCTATATCGCAAACTCTGAAAAACTGACGCCCCAAAGCCTCGAACCTTCAAACTTGGCTGCTCTTTCCCCTCCACTATAACTTTTTGCTTTAAGCTCAGTCCCCATGAAAAAGAGGAACCACAAACGTTTCAAAGTGCTATAATTGATCCCCCATAATATGATAGTTCCCATGTGGTTTTCCAGATCTACGGAACTGGAGAGGGTGGCAATGATCAAATTGCCTGGGCCAAATCAAAACGCTAGGTTTACGATGTTTGATCTGATTGCAATTGCGAACCCTGCAAAACCATGCATACCCTACAGTTTGAAGGTGACAAACTTTCGCCCCTACTCCTTCTCCTCCTCCTAGTCCTGCTACGGCTACTCCTCCTCCTACTACTTCTACCATGACTACGAGGACTCATCGGAGAGAGCTGAGGGCCCAGCCTTTGTTTTGAGATTGGTCCGCCGGGAACTCTGGGGGAGAGGGGTTGACAATAGTTTCCATCTTCAGTCCCTACAATAAAAACCGACAAGTAAACCCCAAGTCCTATATCCACCAGTTTCAATTTCATCTTGCCGGGATTTGCTATTTGATGCCCCCGTCCCCTAAAACCCTAAATATCCCTGTATGACCCCCACATACTCCGATAGTCCTTTCGTTTACCCCTAAACCCTAAAGCCTATAAGCCCTACACCCTAAACCCTAAATTGCATACCCCTATAGTAGCTTCCATTTTTCCATTCCCTACTAACAGCCCTTAAGAACTTGATCCACGCTTCGCTGCCGGCGCTGGCGCGCTTGCACCAAGCCCTGCCTTTCCAGAGTTCTTAGGGTTTAGGGCTTCGGGCGTATGGTTTAAGGTTTAGGCTTTAGGGTTGAGGGCTTATGGTTTAGGCTTCAGGATAGGTTTGGGGTTGTAGGAATGGAAAAGAAAAGGGAACGTAACTTTGAAATAGGGCGTAAAGTTTAGGGTAACGAAGAATGGAGCTATTATTATTTGGAGTTGAGGACCCTAAGCCCTAAACCGCTAAGCAGACAGAAATGAGCTGTGGAATTTCCCAGGGATCGTCTGAACTGGAAAATTGCAACCTTCAACTGGGTTGCTGTTAAGGAACTTAAATTAAGTTACTACATTGGGGAAACCCCATTATTTACTATATATACCCATTATGGTAACTTAATTTAAGTTCCTTAACTGCAACCCAGTTTATGTGTTGATGTGAGCTATAGTCTAAACTCCTTAAAGGGGGGATATATATATA